CATTAGCACCTCTAGTAATAAATTTACTGAGAAAAATGGTGACGTGTTCAATACTTATTTTACCCGCTGTAAGTTAAAACATTAATTTTTACAAGCATTAGTCTAAAATGTAAAACTGGAACATTCAGAAATGTTAGAGTTGAGCCATTTTAGTCTAATCTTGAAAATAACATTATTTGTATTCTCAGGCCATCCTTAGAGTATGTGTTGGGAAAGATTCTCAACAACTTTTTGCTCAATATCTATAWAACCGATAAATTTATATGCAGGGTAATGTCAATTAGCTGTGACAGCTATCCTAAATTTATTTAATTTGAAAACTAAACAGTTGTGTGGATTGCTCTGTCCAGTAGTTTAAAAATATGTTGCCAACAGACAATCAGGATTGACTTCAACAGGAAATGTTTTAAAGGGAGCATATCCTGCAAAATCCACTTCCTTATCTGTTAAATGCATTATGTTGTGTATGTCTCTAGGAGTGCAGAAAAGTTTAATTTAGTCTCTCCTGGTGCTGCAAAGATATCTTTGTATTCTGTTTGGGTTATATTTTTCAGTTCATTTGGAAATAAAAAGTGTCTGTGCCGTAAAACCCTTTATCAARCTGGAATAGACCGGCCTGTGAAGCTCCTCTTTTAAATTTAAAGAGACAGCTTCAAAATGAGTTGATCTGAGACACACCTCAGAAAAGGGATTAAAGAGATGCTTGTGGAGTTACAATAAGTAGAAATTCAGACCAAAGCGTTGCTGTTCCACTTTACAGACCACAACTGATTTAAATGTGAAAAAAGGCTTTAGAAGCGCAGTGTGTCTCAGCTACAACCACATAAAATTTTAACTCTGTCAAACTGACTGATTTGTAATATTTTTTCTCAAGGTTTGCCYRTGACGGCCATCTTGAATTGGGCTGGCAACAAACATATTTGTAGGAATAGATCCAAAGATTACTTTCTGCACCTTTCCTTAAATTTGTCCATTAGTTCATGAGATATTTTATTAACAAACAGGAGATAATAATGAGACAATAAATTATATTCCCAATTTCCATCTTTTTTTTTATTCATTCTCTGCTGCGCCTACTTGAAACAGCCCACCTTCACACAGCCACATTGTAAAAACTTTTCCTAGAAACCATGTTTTCAGAAACCTCCCGCCCTCGTGAGCAGCAGTCACACCGAGTCGACACTAACGTTGATGCAAACCTCATCYAGACACCAGCCCTCAGAGTAATTCCACTCTCATGTCTCTGTCACCTTCAAATCAGATTAGCCCACATTAGCTCGGCTGTCGTCACCGGAAGGCCCAAGGCCTGCAGCTGCAGCACACATCAGATAACCATCAAACTGCATTAAACATCGCAGTCGCCATCCAGCCATAGGTCATCGTTAACGCATTCCTGAGAGAAATTTTGTTTGCTTCCTTTCAGCAAGTATTAACAGAGTATTCCCTTTTTCCAGTTTTTCATCTCTTTATTTCCCTTCTCTTCCCTGTGGCTCCTTGTTTCACCCACTCAGTGATGTCCTGCATGTTTCCTCGCTGGGACTCTGGAAAGCTTTATCATGTCGCAGCAAAATACTTTGATGACACATCTCCTGTTAGGGTGATCTCTGCTGCCCCCTGCTGTTGAAAAGTGGGGTGTGCATTGAGTGTGTAAAATGATGTTTGAAATTTCATGAACATGGCTGCGTAAAAAGCTAACTAAAAATAAAAACAAAAAAATTGCAYACATTTCTATTCTCTAACATCTTTATGGGAACAAGAGGTTGTAAATCTTTACTCAAAATGGGGATTTGAAGATATATTGTCAGATGAGATTTATTATTTACATATTTTTTATGTCTGTATTGAATTTCAGCATTTTATTTTTCATGGTAAATGTATGTTTAAAGGGAAARTTTTCTTCAKTACAAARATYTGAAAATATTTTGTCTGAAAGTCACAATACAGAGGTTTACATCCACTCGTCATATTCATTTTGTGTATTTAATGTTGTATTCTAGCACCAGTACGACAGCATGAAGCTAATACTGCCATGCTTCAAAGTTACAACAATGTTTTTAAGTTTGAAAGCCTGACCCACCTGCTCCAAATACTTATTGTCATTGTAGCCAAATAACTTGATCTTTGTCTCACCTGAACAGAAAGCCTTCCTTCAGGAGGCCTTAGAACTGTTGTGTTTTATCATCACTGTACTGCATGTGTCCATACGATGATGTCTGCCTTTAACCCAACACACATAAGTGGAGCAGCAGGCAGTTATGTAAGCTCTACACACACTGTGTCCAGCTCATGGGAAACCCCTCCCACTGCTGTATACGTCACAGCACGGGGTTTCTTTTCACCTGGCGACTCCACACTGATATCCACCGTTTAGCCAAAAATCTGTCTGAAAAATACAAAYGGATGTACTTTCAACAACTGCTCCTTAAAACTATCTGTGTTGTTTGGACGCACAACAGCCGGCTTCTGTGAGCAACATAGTTGCAGCAAAATTATACCCATTGTTCTGACTGCTTTTCTGCATGAACAAACACACCCACTAAACTTCTGACCAATCACACGATGCTCAGCACATTCGCCTGTGAGAAAMAGTTCGGCCCGAGCCTTGTGTGAAGGCGAGGCTGCTCTGTGTACAACATGACACAACTTTTATCACACAGATGCAAAAATAGGAGTCTCAAGGACAATAGTAWATGGGCATGGCAGGGAATCAAACCTGTGACTCTCTAGTTTGAAGTCACTGCCTTACCACTGCACCACAGTGGCTCATTCATCTTTCTTTAGTCACTTTTGGAGCAGGGGCTGGAGTCTCAGTCTGTGGTACAAACACTGGGGCGTTGGTGGTTCCTGAGCTGTTCCTAAACACTCAGATCAATTTGATTTCATTTGAGGGTTACATGGGTTTTGGTCAGACAATTAAGTGCTGTCAAACAAATTATTTCTATGCAGCAAAGTGAAGCTACCAGCTGCAGTCAATCACAATCACAAGCAAGAATGCAGCGGGCTTTGACCCTGATTGTCTCTAGACCCAATTAATTCTAATTTGGGCACCATTTTTTATTTATTTATTTTTCAGTGGTGGGCACAGTTCCCCTAAGGCACTAAAGCACTATTAGGGGAACTTAGGGCTTTTGCTAATTTTAAAATTTATTAGTGGATTAGCACTTGCTAAATTTATAGGCTAAATTTAGAAGCACTAACTGAGGGCTTTAAATGTTATTGATCAACATTATTAACTGCTGAAGGTGAAAGCTGTCACACATTTTGTTCATACGTGTGTCACTTATCCACTAGGTGACATATTAACAATATATGAACCCAAATATGGCTGTGGAATTTCAATGACAAGTCTTAGGAGAGCAACATGTGACTCATGTTGTCTGTTGAAGAATGTTCCATTGCTTGACTAGGTTATTTTAGTGCTTTAGAATTAGCTTTTGCTAAATTTTTCAGTGTGTTAGTGCTTTAGACTTAGGGGACCTAAATATTTGAGTTGGTGTTTTAGGGCTGCTGGAACTAATTTTTAGATTAGTGCTGCCCACCACTGTTTATTTTGCATAAAATCATTGAAGCTGTAACATCACTCCCCCTGGATAAAGAATGCTTCACATTAATTAATGTGACGTTCATACCTGTGATGAGTGTATGGAAACGTTTGGCTCCAACTTCAGGTGAGCTGGAGTAAACTTAAAACTGATCATATCTTTTAAACGACTAAAGTCCTGTCAATTCTGTCCGTTTCTACATCTGCTGGGCCAGCTACAAGGAGGGTTTATGTGTCTGACTTTGTGTCCGTGTTGACACACCAACGTGTCTAAATGTTTCCCCTCTCTGTCTCTTTCCACAGAAGAGCCAAAGCTGGTACAACGTAAGTCACCCCTCATTTTTATCTGCACTTTTTATACGTGTGTCTGTGTTTGCCATTTAAGGTACGGGTTTGTGTGCTGGTGTGTATTTTTTGTCATATGCATGTGACACCTGGAAGTGTCCATCCTTTGGTGATGAAAGGTTGTTATTTTTGGTTCTGTTTACTGGAGCGATAAAGCCTCTCTGGGTTGCCAGTTCTGTAGCAAAAGGGATTAGCAGCAGGTGGGTCGAGTCGTTCACAGCAACAAAAATAGGTGATGCCCTATTAAATTAATTTACTTAGAATTGAGTACTTTTTATTTCTGGACCAAAAATCTATCATGGCATGAATAAAAAAAGTCAGTTTATTTTTTTTTTGCACCACAAGATGTCATGCAAACCCTTTGATAATGACCTGTCATCTACTCTTTACAGATATTTTCAGCTAACTTTAAATTGTCCATGAAAACAAAACAGTTGTWAATGTGACCAAAAGCAAAGGGAACTTGAGTCCAGTTGGTGTTAAATCGTTCTTCATCCAGGACTGCCCTTATTGCAGTTCCTCCTGTTTTCTTTGAATTGGTTTATTTATTCCCTGTGTGTACAATCTTCCCTTCTCTTTCTCCCAGCATGAAAGGCAACACATCCTGAGAGTAAGCATGACTTTGATAACTTTCTCGCTCTCTCTCTCTCTCTCCACTGGTGGGGTTTTTACCGTCCCTACTTCCTGCTTCTCTTTTCTTCACTCGGTGTTGTTACTGCCTGTTGCAAGCCTCCACCCATAGGATTTTAATGAGTTATTATAAACTCATTTTAAAAATATTTGATTAACCGCATGGCTTCTTCATTCTGGTCAWGATAATGAAATTGAAATTGGCTGGTTTTGTGTTGTACAAATCCAGTGTTTAAAGGAGAACTTTAAATGTTTAATGTTCTCCTGGCGAGCAGCAGGTGGGAACAAACGCACCGAAGCTCTTCACTGCACTAAACATCAGACGGGCCTCTGGACGAGCCATGGCAACGAAGTGTGAGGATTTAAGATGAGGCGAGCTCCTCTCCACGTCGCTTCCMGACTCTGTTTTGGAAAACATGAACAAACGGTCCATTTGGCATTTGGGTTCTTGATCCATAAAGTCCAGAGACGTCTCTAACATACTAAACTACAGCAAACCTTTCGCATTTCTCTCTAATGTAGAGTTGATGTTATTAAACTCTTATTTGTGGCATCAAACTAAGTTAGTATTAAAAATATGACCAACAGCTGGACACAGCACCTTTTAATCAAACCAGAATACATTTAAGACCTTTAAACATCTGAAAAATTGTAAAAAGTTGACAGTGAAAGGAGATGAGAAGTTTTGACAGTCAAAGGTAAAGGGAAAATTTAGCTGCTGACGCTTTTTGAATATTGAACCAATAAAGGTCATTTATATTAAAGAAAATGCAGCAGTTCTTAATCAAACAATTAACTTTCAAACTTTATTGATTATTTTGCTAAACGGTTTTAATAGAATTTTGCATTTGCTGCAGACTTACTAACATTTTAAATCTATTTATTTGCCATGTGGATTTCTAGTAAGTGACTGATTTTCAGTCCATGTCCCTGATTAGACTTTTCTACCTCGCAATCCTGTGCAGAAACCTACAATATTAAAAAAATTATAAAACAAAATAAAGCATCATTACCATAATAAAGGTATAAAATAAAGCATAAAACTGACAACAAATCAGATTTATAGTGTTGATACAATATCATATTGTCCAAGTGCTGACTGCACAGTGGTCAGCTCTGATGTCTCATTGYGTGGGTTTTCTCCCAGGACYCTGGTTTACTCCCACACACTAAAAACAGTCCCTTTACCATTTACACGCATGTTAGGTTGCCTTCAGGCTCTGGCCTCCCTTKCAAAAGAGATCTATGATTTCATTGGGATTTGTCTGATTAAATAAAGGTTAATAAATAATACGAGCATTTTAACACATCTATTATCTAATTAATATGGTCATCAATGATCTCAAGCTAGGTTTTCTTTCAACTACTTTTTTCAGTTGAACTAGTTTTTCTTGAACGTTTTCAAATCTTTTTGTTTTTGTTTTTTTTTTACGTAGATTTCCCGTTAAGTTTTTTTTTTAAGAAATGCTTGCAAATTTTTGAAGGACATTTTTTTATTAAAAAAAATTATTTTTTTAACAAAAGGATTGATACTTTAGGAGGCAGTGTCTTCTGTTATTTGTTCATTTTTATCTCAAGCATAATCTTTGCAGCAGAAAGATGTACAGTATTTTAACCCTTTGAATGAACCAGTGAGCAGCAACACTGAAACCTGTCACAACATCGCATCACAAAGACAAAAAAAAAAGAAAAAAAAAGAAAAACACAAAATGACCTGTATCTGTCCCAGTACCAACTCACCTGTGGAGTAAACACTGAATTAAAGTCTGTAGAGTTAAATGAGATTATTTTTTCTTTTTTTATATTTTAGAACTGTGCTTTAAAGTGCCTGTGACATTATTTTTTTTGTAATAAATGTGAATGCATTTTTGGAAAGAGAACATTGATAACAAATTGCAAAACAAATTTCACACCATTGAGATGAACAGTTGTTGAAATATTTGCATGTGAAGAAACAGGAAGCGATGTCATAGAGGAATATCTGCATGTAAACAGAGCAATGATACAATAATTAGAGAAGAATCTGATGTTTCTTTAGATTATTTTGAGTCACTATCAGAGTTGAAGAAGAGTTTAAATAAGATTGTTTCAATAAACAAAGACCAGAGAGTTTCTCGTTTTAAAGAGTTCCCCTTTGATGTCACTTCCTGTTTCACTTTGCTGAGCCAGATTCAAGAAAAAATATGCCAGTTATGAGATAAAATGGGTAAAATCATGTGTATTATGCTAATTTTCTTAAATATAAATGTTTTCTTTCACTTTTTGTATTTGAAGGATAAGTAAGTCAGAGGCCCTTTAATTCACAAACAAACAAAATAAAATAATAAAGTTTTAATCAGTGTTTCTTAATTTGAAAAGTGAACATCACTGATTTTAGAWGATTTATTTTCACTCAGAACACTTCATCCTGTTCAGTAGATAAATGTGTATAAATAAATCCACAGCTGAAAACATTCAATATTAACCTAAATTTTATATTTAATTAAAGATATTCAGTATTTAATTATGTTYTCTTTGAAAATAGTTTCTCAAGAGAGAAAAAATTGTTACACTGACTCAATTTAGGAAAGAACAATGTTTTATGAACAGTGTACAGTGTAGTAGGTACCACAAGACTCAGTGGAGAGCAATATAATCAACTAAATATTATTTTTAATCCTCCAGCACACTGATATTGGACTAATTATAGGATGTATTAACAATAAAACATTTAGAAAGTAACGTCAAAAATGTTCCTTTTAAATAATGGAGGGAAGTGCTAATTCCGGAAAAAAGGCTAGTACTTCTAATAAAACTGATTAGTTTCTTGTCGTTGACAGTACATGGGCATGAACGCACAATTTAACATTACCTTTTAAAATGTGTGCATCAGTGTCAGGGCTGACACCCTAAAGTTCACGTATTTAGTCAGAGTGGCACAATATTCTAAAAATATTGTTGAATATTACAATAACCACATCAGATCTCACGACAGTCACAACACCTAAATGTGTTGCAGCATCCTGACCGCTATCATCAGCTGTGAACGTCCATCACACTGACCTAATATGGATAATGTTGGCATGCAGAGCATGAAGGCATGGCACTGAAACATACCAGCCAATGACACATGGTAGTCCAAATCGTCCTGTACGATATTCATTTCACCCAGAATGACTCTGTGGTGATGGTTTTTAGACACATTGTGCAGACGTATCAATCAAACCTAAAACTAAAACACACACAACACACAGAGTTTGTTCAGCTCTGGCTGCAAATGTAAATGCTGCACTTTTTATAGCTTTGCATGTCAKACAGCATATGCTCTGAAGTTCACAGCTCCATGGCAGCTACACAGCCTGACTGCCTCCATTAGCACCGATACCAGTGTCATTTGTTCTAATGTGAGTTCTAAGCTGGTAAGAGATGTGGACAGTCATCACCCTCTTATCATCTGAAAGCCCTCATTTATTTGCTTGGTATTTACAGAAGTAGGTCACAGTGCGTCCTTGGTTACCAAACCCACAGTGCTCCAGGAAGTTAGCGACAAGAGGTCAAACACCAACCAGCATTAAAAATTAGAACGAGGCTAATTTGTTCTGATAATAAAAAWAAAAATATCAGGCTGATACACGCATCCTAATATTTGAATCTGTTAAATAAATACGTGGTAAACACTCACAGTGACGTACACAGTATCACACCCCAGTTTACAGTACCAGCCTCCTCCACCCCCTACTGTTTGTTCAACGAGTTAATAATGAACCAAATCAATACATGACTTCATCCCAACACTCACACCATCACCTGGATTCTAAACGATGCATCAGTCACCATGGCACCTTTATTTGCTTGATTTGTTAGAGAAAATAGATAAGCAGATAGARAGTTTGCTGTCAAAATCAACACCACTTTTGTGTAGAGGAATTAATTCTCRTTTTGTGTAGTTTTTCGTCTACTAATGAACAAATAAATGCATTTTCCCTGCTTTTTAAGAAGGTTGTGAATAAAKTTTGTTTTCCAGGAACATTTCCAAGCATCCTGATTTCTTTTCTTTTAGTTCTAATTCTCCGTATTTGCTGAAAGGGAGGATTGAGACAAGGTAGCGTTTGTTGGACCCGAAGCTGAAATCTGAAGTGTGAGAAATGTGGCAGGATTTAAATCCAGCCATTCTCTAATCCATCAGCCCTTACATCTACAGAACTGTTCCCAGTTTTCTGACAACTGGAAGGTTTCAAGTTAAGAACATTACATCTACACATATATATATATATATATATATATATATATAGAAAGGATCCACTTCCCTCTGCAGAGTGAGCAGTGGGTCGCGACCCGGTCCAGATCCTGTCAAGAATGATGGTGTTGTTTTGCAGGCGGAGGTAACTGGAGGTTATGCGCTCACATCTGGTCTCTGTAATCCAATCGCTCGGGCAGAGAGCAAGTTGGACTCCACACATACCATAACAGAGAGAAAACACGACTCTTTTCTTCAGTCTCGCAGCTCCTCTGTGTCCAGTTAAATCCTTCTCTACAAAGTAAACTTTCTTCAGTCTTTGCTGCTCGTAAACAGAGCCATTACAAAGCACTCAGACCTGGACAGCACCCCCACCGTACACACACACTCTACTCGCACACTTACTAGGAAGAGTAAACAAGAAAAAAAGGAAAGAGCTTGTGGCATGATAATAAAGGACTTGTTGGCTGGGGTTACTAGAGGGCAATGGCCATAACTCCTCTCACTGTGTGTGTGTGTGTGTGTCTGTGTGTGTGTGTGTGAAAGGAAGCGGGAGAGCTCCGGAGCAGCACAAGGATCATGTGGCTGGAGTGCAGTGTGTCCACTGCTCCACGCTGAAAAGGGGAGCAGAGCTCAGAGCAAAGGGGGGCGGACACTGCAGCTTCCAAAAGCCCCTGGATCCACCAACTATCTTATCTTTATTTTACAAACCTAATGTAGCTGACGTTAGGGCTTAACGAGGGGAGCCCACTGAGGCACGTTTCTGGGAAGTTTGTTTCCATCCAGAGAGGCCTACAAAAAAGAAGCTGGCACCATGAATGTGGAGCTGGATGAGGACTGCACCATGTCGGAGTGGGAGGCTGTGCTGGAGCTGGATGAGGCGCTGGCAGGGTGGCATCTGCAGGGTCCGGATGGTGGCGAGTGGGGTTGGGAGTGGGGTTGGGCTGCGTCGAGCCCTCAAGACCCAGAGTGGGACAATGAGGATATTCCTGCTGTAAGTTGATCCCCACTTGTGCTAACAAACAAGCAGAGCAGGAGCTAAGACTATTAAAGCATYCAGTTTGTAATTACTGGAGCTCTGACAGGATAAGCTCCCAGGAAGAGGTGCATTCAAACAGGCATTGTTTTTACTGTAAAGTACTGCGGTGTGCTAATAAAACCACTGGTTTGGTTATGAGTCATACGAGTTGAAATTCGTCTGGATCTCACAAAGGGTTGTTGTTTAAAGGGATCATCAGGCTACCATGGAGCTGAATTAACACACCAACCTTGTAGGTAGGTGTGCATGTGTATGTTTGGTTGTTCCCAGTCAATGAGGAAGGGTGGTGTGTGCAGTTTGTTTTAGAGATGTCTCTCACGCTGTTCGAGCAGCTTTTTCTTATTACCTCATGTTCCTCAGAACAGAGGCAAAGGCAGATATTGACACGTAATGTTTCAGTTTTGTTTTTAATTCCTGGCAGTTTCTAAGAAAAAAGGTTACATTTACGTCATCTGCACTCGAAGGAAATGTATTTTTCTTTTGTTTCAGTTCACCCCTTCGTACTCTATTGTCAACTATTGTTTCCTGAAGGTTTCCTGTTGAAAGGAAACATCTGGCACAAATACCACGAGCCCTATCTCTTTGGGGCACATTGCAGGTTTTACACACCATCCCCATTCACTTACAAAAATCACTTCCAGGCAAATTGGTATCATACATTTAAAGGGTATTTTTTAAACCTTATTCAATTACAGTTTTCAGTTGCTACTAAACAAATTTCTCATCTATACTTTGCTTTTTACCACATATCTATTCCTGTTACCAATAAAATCTTACTTTTAGTGTTCTATCAAATGATCCTCTGATTTTGTGCACTAAGTCACGTAGTTACAAAGTATCACWAATCATGCAGCCTTAAAGATACAGCTCAGGCCACATTCCTCCTGTCTTTCTTATTCCAGCACAAATCTCTCACTGAATGAAAGTGGTGGTTTTTGACTAAATAAAACCAGGCGCCCCTCGTTGTCAAAGCCGTGGGTGGGTTTTAACGAGCTTAACTCGTAGAAACGAATAAGTTGAACCATGTGGCGGAGAACAAACTCGTGAGCGGAGATGAAAGAGAGAGAGATTGGGCAACATTTAGATATGTGACTCTGTGTGTGTTTGTTGGGTGTGTGTGTGTGTGTTTTGTTGTGTGATGTTTCTGACTCGGTGTGTCGCTGCAGGTGCTGAGCCCGACATACAAGCAGCGCAATGAGGACTTCAGGAAACTCTTCAAGCAGCTCCCCGACACAGAGAGACTCATTGTTGGTGAGTGGACACCCAAACCCTCTGAGACCRTCTGAGGGCTGCCAGGGTGCACCCCACTTGTTACAAAAATAAGAAAAAGATCAGTCCTCACAGAACAGACAAGAAATATACAAAAATTCAATATTTGATTGACTATAAATGCATCTAGAATGGGTTTCTTCAACTTCTAAAACCTGTCCCACGTTCATTTTTTTGACGTCTTGCAACAAAATAAAAGTTCTTTTTAAGTAAGTCTTAAGGAATAAATTAGATTTTGTGGTTTGTTGAAAAGGAGAGAACATCTGTTGAAGACAATCTACTGTTAACACTCCATAAAGGCTGAGAATAGTATTCACTGTAACTGTAAATGTTTCCAAATGCACAAGTTTTCCATCAAAGCTTTGATTTATGAAACCTAAAAAGTGTCAAATTCTGTCAGGGAATCCAAAAACAGCTTTTTGATTATGCCTTTACTGGCCAGCATTTCTGGTTTAATATTAGGCCTTGGACACCTCCGAATTGCTAACGTTCCCAGCAGCATGTTTTCCTTCGTGGCTTTCAGAAATCTCCAGTGTTGTTAGAAAACATTCCTAGAACCGTTGAGTTGCCACTTCATTCCAAACATTTGGTGTTGATACGTGGTTTTCAAAAGATAGTACAAGTTGTTGTACAAGTTCCTTCTAAGGGAGCAGTTTTGGAACTTTTTGTGCTCCATTTGGAAGAAAATGTTCTTTAACAAATACAACTATAGAATAGAATTAAAGAATGTAACTAGGGCTGCACAATATTTGAAAAAATGACATTGCAATTTTTTTAACTCTGTGATATTAAAAAATCCAGAATTTTCTACAGATGACTTGAATAACACTTTAATTTCTGCTTCCATCCTGCCATCTGGTAGACGATGAACATGCACCGATACCGATCTCACCTCTGTTTTTGTGTTTATATTATTCATTTTTGTGTATTCGAATGTTACGCTTATCTTTTATTGCTTTTATTGTGCTGAGACCTGAATACATGTTTCATTCTATCATGTGCAAACGTGAATTACATTAACAAGTTGCCTCTGCGTCAAGCTCCGTTTCTGTTTTCGTCATGCTAAACATTAGCATTCATGCTAAACTGCATTTTCACCACTTTTCCTCCTCGTTTTCATCAAGAATTTATTGACAACACTTCCCAAAAAATGCTGCCATTATTCTCCCAGACGGTCATATTCTGAACATTCTGCTCAGATTCATTAGTGAGAGCAACTATCTGTGTTTTTTGGCRGTTTTTGTGACAGTCTTTGAATTTTGTCTTTGAATTTTTTCAAAGACAAAAATACATTTTTTGATTTGATTTTGTTTTTGTTTCTTTTGTTCGATGTTTTGTTCCCTTTGCTCTTTTTGTTGTTGTTCCCCTATGTTTATCTGTGCCTCCAGCCACTTCTCCCAATACTTTTCCATGGTTAGTCTGCTCTCTCAGTCAGCCTGTTACATCCAGTCACATTTGTTCCTGGTTTCATTGTCACAGCTGCAGTTTTCCCATCAGCTTTCAGTTCAAATACTCAAGCTCTGGGGTCTCATTTATAAAGGATTGCGTGGAAACCATACTAAAAGTGAACGTACGGCCAAAAGGCG